TATTATTATTATTACTATGAGTATTATTATTATTGTTAGTGTTATTATTATTATTATTATTATTATTACTATTATTATTATTATTGTTAGTATTACTATTATTACTATGAGTATTATTATTATTATTGTTAGTGTTATTATTATTATTATTATTATTATTATTATTACTATGAGTATTATTATTATTATTGTTAGTGTTATTATTAGTAGTTATGAGCACACCTTCATGTGCTGTGTGCAGCAAGGAGACTCCTTGATTTGTGTCCTGCTGTGATGGTGGCAACTCGATTAACAGGTGATAAAGATCAGTGGCTGACCTGCAGAGAACATCAAAGGACACGGGTCGGACACAAGAACCCTTGCACCCCCATCGACCTCACCTCCCAACAACCAGGAAAGAACTCGATTCCAACACGAGATGGTTGCTATTTTATGCACTGCTACTCACTGCAAATGACCCGAATTACACTGGGTCCAGCTTCTGTGCTCTCCGAATGCAGGAATGGCTCGCTCAGTAGGAAAGTGGAGACGTAAAGACTTCGGAAGGGGAAGGTCGCCCGGCCATCACCAGCAGGAGAGTCTGAATTCCCCTGTGCAGCAGCTGTGACAGTTCACGAGGAGGTGGAGACTGCTGACCTGCAGTCTAAGATGGAGAAGGAACTGAGCTGATGTAACGCCAAGTCAGCTCAGAGGTTCCCAAAATGATGTCAACAACAGCCAGGTGGCATCTCCATCATGCAACAACAAGTTCCTCCGGCCTGCAGGACGATGCTAGAGCTGAGCACACAGTCAGTGACCAAGACCCACTGCAGTGCATCACACCTGGACTGGAGATAAGGTGCGGGGGTCAAACACCAAGTTCAGGAGGGAACCAGAACCGCAGGTCAGCCAGCCACGAAAAATACAGAACCTGTGACACCTGTTCAGTCCTACAAGCGATCGATTGCAGCGCAGGAGGTACCGACGGATGTGGAGCAGAAGATCCACAAGTGTTTGATGACAAATGATGTGGGTTACCTTAATAAAGCTAGGAACTCAAGGTTATTATGTAGGTTTTGGTGTCTAGTTTATTCATTCCTAATTCCAGGTCTTAACTCTTGCTCTGGGTTTTGTTGACAGAATAATGTATTTTATTTTTATTGTTATTACTCAAAGGTAGCATTCAGGGGGAATAAATTAATAAAGCTAGGAATACAGGATAAAACTGGGTTTGATGTCTGCTTTACTATTGAGCTAAAGATTGATTAATTGGTCATTTTAAATTCCAGGTTGGTAAGGTGTGTCCTAATTTCATAATATTGTTTTATTGGTTTAATCTTTTCTTGCTCAAAAAGTCACATCAGGAGGGAATGTTGGGTATTTTTATAATTGTACCTTTTTGAGGCCTAAAAGATGCCCATTTTGTGTTATTGACACTGCATGAATCTCTGTTTTTGCCAACTGTTGTTGTTCATGAAAGGTTGAGCAAGGATGTTGATTGCAACTGAAACCTTTGTAACTCTGTAACCTGAGAAGACCCCGCCTTCTCCCCCATCCTTTGTTGTGAATAAAGCCCCTGGGAAACTGAGGAGACTTGGGAGTGACGGGGGGAAGCCTCGAAGGAGGTTTTTCCCTGCGTTAACTCTCCATATTTTGGTGACTCAGGGTAAAATGTCTTCCTTGTTGTCATGTGTGTTTATTTCAGGTTCCAGGGTTATGGAGATTAAATATTATCTAACATTCTGGTCTCCTGATGGAGAATGCGGGTATGCAGAGCTGGTAAGGTGGAGGCTTTGAGGCTGGAGCAGAGTGGGGTCTGGTTGGTTGAGTCCAGCTTCTCGCATGTTGATTCGCTCACATGGACATTACAAATAATCTCTCTCTCTCTGTGTGTGTCGTCCTTTAAGGTAATATGGGATAAATCTAAAATTACCTATCACTGTTCATGCTTTCGTTCTTTTTTAAACACAGAAACAGTTTTGTTTACCTGTTTGTAGCTACAGTTTTGCCGACGGCTGCCGGCTTCTTCAGGCTGACGCTGATGGTGGCGCGTCACTTCCTTCTCCGTTTATCTGCGGGCAGCAGAGGACGTTGTCGCCCTCTACTGCCCGCTCTCCCCTCTCCGACGATGCAGTCCCATGCGTGGTCCAGCGTGTAAACTCCGTCGTCCCTGTTCATGGTCCCACATCCACGTCTCCTTATCTCTATTGCTTCCTTGATCCATCTTTTGTATTTTTGTTGTTCGGTGGTTATGATCCGTGTGCTGTCCCAGTCCATTATATGGTTTTCTCTTAAGCAAGATGGATCAAGGAAGCAATCGAGATAAGGAGACGTGGATGTGGGACCATGAACAGGGACGACGGAGTTTACACGCTGGACCACGCATGGGACTGCATCGTCGGAGAGGGGAGAGCGGGCAGTAGAGGGCGACAACGTCCTTTGCTGCCCGCAGATAAACGGAGGAGGAAGTGACGCGCCACCATCAGCGTCAGCCTGAAGAAGCCGGCAGCCGTCGGCGAAACTGTAGCTACAAACAGGTAAACAAAACTGTTTCTGTGTTTAAAAAAGAACGAAAGCATGGATTTAGAAAGACACAGCAAGAACACACCTAAGCTACCTATCACTGTTGTTGAACTGTTATAACTAAAGATTTAAACTAAAGATTTGACCTAAAGAGTTTAACTAAAGATTTGAACTAAAGATTTGGACTAAATAGTTTAACTAAATATTTGAACTAAATATTTGAACTAAAGATTTGAACGATAGATTTGAACTAAAGATTTGGACTAAATAGTTTAACTAAATATTTGAACTAAAGATTTGAACGATAGATTTGAACTAAAGATTTGGACTAAATAGTTTAACTAAATATTTGAACTAAATATTTGAACTAAAGATTTGAACGATAGATTTGAACTAAAGATTTGGACTAAATAGTTTAACTAAATATGTGAACTAAAGATTTTGACTAAATAGTTTAACTAAATATTTGAACTAAATATTTGAACTAAAGATTTGAACGATAGATTTGAACTAAAGATTTGGACTAAATAGTTTAACTAAATATTTGAACTAAATATTTGAACTAAAGATTTGAACGATAGATTTGAACTAAAGATTTGGACTAAATAGTTTAACTAAATATTTGAACTAAAGATTTGAACTAAAGATTTGAACGATAGATTTGAACTAAAGATTTGGACTAAATAGTTTAACTAAATATTTGAACTAAAGATTTGAACGATAGATTTGAACTAAAGATTTGGACTAAATAGTTTAACTAAATATGTGAACTAAAGATTTTAACTAAATAGTTTAACTAAATATTTGAACTAAATATTTGAACTAAAGATGTGAACGATAGATTTGGACTAAATAGTTTAACTAAATTTTTGAACTAAATATTTGAACTAAAGATGTGAACGATAGATTTGGACTAAATAGTTTAACTAAATATTTGAACTAAATAATTGAACTAAAGATTTGAACTAAATAGTTTAACTAAATATTTGAACAAAAGATTTGAACTAAATAGTTTAACTAAATATTTGAACTAAAGATTTGGACTAAATAAACTAAATATTTGAACTAAAGATTTTAACTAAATAGTTTAACTAAATATTTGAACTAAATATTTGAACTAAAGATGTGAACGATAGATTTGGACTAAATAGTTTAACTCGATGGATGGATGGATGGATGGATGGAACTAAATATTTGAACTAAAGATTTGAACTAAATAGTTTAACTAAATATTTGAACTAAATATTTGAACTAAAGATTTGAACGATAGATTTGAACTAAAGATTTGGACTAAATAGTTTAACTAAATATTTGAACTAAATATTTGAACGATAGATTTGAACTAAAGATTTGGACTAAATAGTTTAACTAAATATTTGAACTAAAGATTTTAACTAAATAGTTTAACTAAATATTTGAACTAAAGATGTGAACGATAGATTTGGACTAAATAGTTTAACTAAATATTTGAACTAAATATTTGAACTAAAGATGTGAACGATAGATTTGGACTAAATAGTTTAACTAAATATTTGAACTAAATATTTGAACTAAAGATTTGAACTAAATAGTTTAACTAAATATTTGAACTAAAGATTAGAACTAAAGATTTGGACTAAATAAACTAAATATTTGAACTAAAGATTTGAACTAAATAGTTTAACTAAATATTTGAACTAAATATTTGAACTAAAGATGTGAACGATAGATTTGGACTAAATAGTTTAACTCGATGGATGGATGGATGGATGGATGGATGGAACTAAATATTTGAACTAAAGATTTGAACTAAATAGTTTAACTAAATATTTGAACTAAAGATTTGAACTAAAGTTTTGGACTAAATAAACTAAATATTTGAACTAAAGATTTGAACTAAATAGTTTAACTAAAGATTTGAACTAAATATTTGAACTAAAGATTTGAATGATAGATTTGAACTAAAGATTGTTGCAGACAGAAACATTAAACCTGTTTAACACCAGAGCGAGGCGCTCGGCGCCGTTGTCTCCGTCACTGTAAATGAGGGGAAAATGAGTTGATCTGATCATTTTATTACCTTTAACATTGTTTAATGTAAAGTTTTATCCAGTACAAAGTTTAATTACAACAATCCAACGAGACAGAGCCTGGATTTGTATTCAGTTTAAACACGTTTTAAAAGGAGACACGTGTGACGCAGTAAAAATGGGCACCTGCCCAGGCCAATTAGGCTCCACCCACAATGCCGCAGTTGCTGTGGCTCTCAGTGTTTTCTTTCCTCTGGGAAACGGGGAATAACGGCTCTTTGATGGGAAAAGGTTACCGACCCCTGGGTTAGGCATAGTGGAGTCATCAAAATGAATGAAAGTTAGTGGAGGTCCGCACAAACATAAATAAGTGTGTGTGTGTGTGTGTGTGTGTGTGTGTGTGTGTGTGTGTGTGTGTGTGTGTGTGTGTGTGTGTGTGTGTGTGTGTGTGTGTGAAACATCTTACAACAGCAGCAGCAAGGCTGGCAGAACCACTACAGGGCTGGTGATGTAGCTCATCACCTTACTGAACCACACCGGGAAGTCAGCAGCTACTGTCTCTGAGATGATGTCATAAATCTTCTCCTGGCCACTGAAACATATTTCAGACGTGTCAGTCATCACAACCCACCATGCATCAGTAAAACAAAGTACAAGTCAAATCAGAACAACAAATAAAAACAGGTCATCAACAAAAGCACAGTATAAAACATCCAATTCACCAAGTAAAGACCAAGACACAAACATGGGTCTTTAGACAAGATTTAAAAGAGGTGAGAGATGGAGCCTGTCAGATATAAAGAGGAAGTGAGTTCCAGAGTGACGTGGCTGCATACCTAAAAGCCCATTCCTCCTGATTTACATCTCATCTGTAGAGTGGCGAGCAGCAGGTCAGCTTATGGGGGGTGGAGGGGCGAGTAGCTCAGACATATAGGGATGTGCCAGGCCATTAAGCACCTTGAATGTAGAAATCAGGACCTTGAAACACAGCCTACAGGTCACCGGAACCCAGTGAGTAATGTGGCTACGACAGTTAGAGCTGGCCAGGAATCTGGCTGCAGCATTACCTGTAGCCAAGGCCACCTTAAGGCGCGGGCAACCTGGAGCCGTGGCCAGGGGCCTATGATGTTTATGGACCTATGATGTTTAGGGACCTATGATGTTAAGGGACCTATGATGTTTAGGGACCTATGATGTTTATGGACCTATGATGTTAAGGGACCTTTGATGTTTAAGGGCCTATGAAGTTTAAGGGCCTATGATGTTTATGGACCTATGATGTTAAGGGACCTTTGATGTTTAAGGGCCTATGATGTTTAGGGACCTATGATATTTAGGGACCTTTGATGTTTAAGGACCTATGATGTTTATGGACCTATGATGTTAAGGGACCTTTGATGTTTAAGGGCCTATGATGTTTAGGGACCTATGATATTTAGGGACCTATGATGTTTATGGACCTATGATGTTAAGGGACCTTTGATGTTTAAGGGCCTATGATGTTTAGGGACCTATGATATTTAGGGACCTTTGATGTTTAAGGGCCTATGATGTTTATGGACCTATGATGTTAAGGGACCTTTGATGTTTAAGGGCCTATGATGTTTAGGGACCTATGATGTTTAGGGACCTATGATGTTTAGGGACCTTTGATGTTTAAGGGCCTATGATGTTTAGGGACCTATGATGTTTAGGGACCTTTGATGTTTAAGGGCCTATGATGTTTAGGGACCTATGATATTTAGGGGCCTATGATGTTTAGGGACCTATGATGTTTAGGGACCTATGATGTTTAGGGACCTTTGATGTTTAAGGGCCTATGATGTTTAGGGACCTATGATGTTTAGGGACCTTTGATGTTTAAGGGCCTATGATGTTTAGGGACCTATGATGTTTAGGGACCTTTGATGTTTAAGGGCCTATGATGTTTAGGGACCTATGATATTTAGGGGCCTATGATGTTTAGGGACCTATGATGTTTAGGGACCTATGATATTTAGGGACCTTTGATGTTTAAGGGCCTATGATGTTTAGGGACCTATGATGTTTAGGGACCTATGATGTTTGGGGACCTTTGATGTTTAAGGGCCTATGATGTTTAGGGACCTATGATATTTAGGGACCTATGATGTTTAAGGGCCTATGATGTTTATGGACGTATGATGTTAAGGGACCTTTGATGTTTAAGGGCCTATGATGTTTAGGGACCTATGATGTGTAGGGACCTTTGATGTTTAGGGGCCTATGATGTTTAGGGACCTATGATGTTTAGGGACCTATGATGTTTAAGGGCCTATGATGTTTAGGGACCTATGATATTTAGGGGCCTATGATGTTTAGGGACCTATGATGTTTAGGGACCTATGATGTTTAGGGACCTTTGATGTTTAAGGGCCTATGATGTTTAGGGACCTATGATGTTTAGGGACCTTTGATGTTTAAGGGCCTATGATGTTTAGGGACCTATGATATTCAGGGGCCTATGATGTTTAGGGACCTATGATGTTTAGGGACCTATGATATTTAGGGACCTTTGATGTTTAAGGGCCTATGATGTTTAGGGATCTATGATGTTTAGGGACCTATGATGTTTGGGGACCTTTGATGTTTAAGGGCCTATGATGTTTAAGGGCCTATGATGTTTAGGGACCTATGATGTTTAGGGACCTATGATGTTTGGGGACCTTTGATGTTTAAGGGCCTATGATGTTTAAGGGCCTATGATGTTTAGGGACCTATGATGTTTAGGGACCTATGATGTTTGGGGACCTATGATGTTTAATGGCCTATGATGTTTAAGGGCCTATGATGTTTAGGGACCTATGATGTTTGGGGACCTTTGATGTTTAAGGGCCTATGATGTTTAAGGGCCTATGATGTTTAGGGACCTATGATGTTTAGGGACCTATGATATTTAGGGACCGTTGATGTTTAAGGGCCTATGATGTTTAGGGACCTATGATGTTTAGGGACCTATGATGTTTGGGGACCTTTGATGTTTAAGGGCCTATGACGTTTAAGGGCCTATGATGTTTAGGGACCTATGATGTTCAGGGCCCTATGATGTTTGGGGACCTTTGATGTTCAAGGGCCTATGATGTTTAAGGGCCTATGATGTTTAGGGACCTATGATGTTTAGGGACCTATGATATTTAGGGACCTTTGATGTTTAAGGGCCTATGATGTTTAGGGACCTATGATGTTTAGGGACCTATGATGTTTAAGGGCCTATGATGTTTAGGGACCTATGATATTTAGGGACATTTGATGTTTAAGGGCCTATGATGTTTAGGGACCTTTGATGTCTAAGGGCCTATGATGTTTAAGGGTCTATGATTTTTAGGGACCTATGATGTTTAGGGACCTATGATGTTTGGGGACCTTTGATGTTTAAGGGCTTATGATGTTTAAGGGCCCATGATGTTTAGGGACCTATGATGTTTAGGGACCTATGATGTTTGGGGACCTTTGATGTTTAAGGGCCTATGATGTTTAAGGGCCTATGATGTTTAAGGGCCTATGATGTTTAGGGACCTATGATGTTTAGGGAGCTATGATGTTTGGGGACCTATGATGTTTAAGGGCCTATGATTTTTAAGGGCCTATGATGTTTAGGGACCTATGATGTTTGGGGACCTTTGATGTTTAAGGGCCTATGATGTTTAAGGGCCTATGATGTTTAAGGGCCTATGATGTTTATGGACCTATGATGTTAAGGGACCTTTGATGTTTAAGGGCCTATGATGTTTAGGGACCTATGATATTTAGGGACCTTTGATGTTTAAGGGTCTATGATGTTTATGGACCTATGATGTTAAGGGACCTTTGATGTTTAAGGGCCTATGATGTTTAGGGACCTATGATATTTAGGGACCTATGATGTTTGTGGACCTATGGTGTTAAGGGACCTTTGATGTTTAGGGACCTATGATATTTAGGGACCTTTGATGTTTAAGGGCCTATGATGTTTATGGACCTATGATGTTAAGGGACCTTTGATGTTTAAGGGCCTATGATGTTTAGGGACCTATGATGTTTAGGGACCTATGATGTTTAGGGACCTTTGATGTTTAAGGGCCTATGATGTTTAGGGACCTATGATGTTTAGGGACCTTTGATGTTTAAGGGCCTATGATGTTTAGGGACCTATGATATTTAGGGGCCTATGATGTTTAGGGACCTATGATGTTTAGGGACCTATGATGTTTAGGGACCTATGATGTTTAGGGACCTATGATGTTTAGGGACCTTTGATGTTTAAGGGCCTATGATGTTTAGGGACCTATGATGTTTAGGGACCTTTGATGTTTAAGGGCCTATGATGTTTAGGGACCTATGATGTTTAGGGACCTTTGATGTTTAAGGGCCTATGATGTTTAGGGACCTATGATATTTAGGGGCCTATGATGTTTAGGGACCTATGATGTTTAGGGACCTATGATATTTATGGACCTTTGATGTTTAAGGGACTATGATGTTTAGGGACCTTTGATGTTTAAGGGCCTATGATGTTTAGGGACCTATGATATTTAGGGGCCTATGATGTTTAGGGACCTATGATGTTTAGGGACCTATGATATTTATGGACCTTTGATGTTTAAGGGCCTATGATGTTTATGGACCTATGATGTTTAGGGACCTATGATGTTTGGGGACCTTTGATGTTTAAGGGCCTATGATGTTTAGGGACCTATGATATTTAGGGACCTTTGATGTTTAGGGACCTTTGATGTTTAAGGGCCTATGATGTTTAGGGACCTATGATGTTTAGGGACCTTTGATGTTTAAGGGCCTATGATATTTAGGGACCTATGATGTTTAGGGACCTATGATGTTTAAGGGCCTATGATGTTTATGGACGTATGATGTTAAGGGACCTTTGATGTTTAAGGGCCTATGATGTTTAGGGACCTATGATGTTTAGGGACCTTTGATGTTTAAGTGCCTATGATGTTTAGGGACCTATGATGTTTAGGGACCTTTGATGTTTAAGGGCCTATGATGTTTAGGGACCTATGATATTTAGGGGCCTATGATGTTTAGGGACCTATGATGTTTAGGGACCTATGATGTTTAGGGACCTTTGATGTTTAAGGGCCTATGATGTTTAGGGACCTATGATGTTTAGGGACCTTTGATGTTTAAGGGCCTATGATGTTTAGGGACCTATGATATTTAGGGGCCTATGATGTTTAGGGACCTATGATGTTTCGGGACCTATGATATTTAGGGACCTTTGATGTTTAAGGGCCTATGATGTTTAGGGATCTATGATGTTTAGGGACATATGATGTTTGGGGACCTTTGATGTTTAAGGGCCTATGATGTTTAGGGACCTATGATGTTTAGGGACCTATGATGTTTGGGGACCTTTGATGTTTAAGGGCCTATGATGTTTAAGGGCCTATGATGTTTAGGGACCTATGATGTTTAGGGACCTATGATGTTTGGGGACCTTTTATGTTTAAGGTCCTATGATGTTTAAGGGCCTATGATGTTTAAGGGCCTATGATGTTTAAGGGCCTATGATGTTTAGGGACCTATGATGTTTGGGGACCTTTGATGTTTAAGGGCCTATGATGTTTAGGGACC